GTCGCGTTCCACACTTGCGGCGCCGTACGGCCGTAACTGCCATCGCTGCCCATGTCCGTATCGTCGCGGACGTCCGACGGGTCGTTGTCGGCTGGCAACGGCACTGAAGCGCCATCTGCTTCAGTCGTTAGTGGAGCAGCAGCTGAGACAAACGCTGCGCCAGCTGGTGCTCCTCGGGTTGTGGCAGGGGTGTAAAACCCACCACGTGGCGGTTGCCACTCGTCGACAGAAGGTGGCTGTCACCGTCGGGGAGATCTGAACGGGTTCTCAACGGTGCGCCGAGCTGCGCGTCCTCGCGGCTCCTCGATCCGGTCACGCGACCGCGATCGTTCTTCGGGGTTCGTTGGCATTTCCTCGTCGTAGGAATGCTCTCGTACCATCTCCAGTGCATAGCTCAACAATGAACTAAAGATATATTTGTTTTGTCTCCCGCTTCTTCTTGGCTTTCGGCCACGGGACCTTCGTCAAGGCAGCAAATATACACACTGACATTAGTGAGGTTAAACACGCCACGAGGCGCCTACTGACTACCATTCACTAAAGTACTCAGTACCTCCACTAAGGTATCGGAACCATTGACACGCCACACAGACAGAGTGTGTGTGTTTGCAATGGGTCAAACTAACGCGCGACCCAATTGCTCTGCCCGCTGCAGAACACCCAGACCGGGAATGTTGTAGATATACCGGCAAGGTAACGCTGCAGTGTCGAAACCCCAGAGTCGAAATGCCGGCGTTCGCAGCTGAAACTAGACCGTACGACGGGGTACGGAGATGAGAGCGGCACAGGAGCACCCAAAATTCCTGGCTAATGACCGTAACCGATGCACCCGTTCTACCAAAGCTTGTGTGCTATGCCCATCGATGGTGGTAAGTACAAGTGGTGGCAGGGGTCCGGTCATGACGTCACAGAACGGATACGGATCACGAGTTTCGGGAGTGAAGGAGGGCCATGAACTCGAAATCGTCAAGGCCCTGGAACGGCCAATACATGGACCGAACAGTCCTCCAAAACCGCTACTTCACGACGTGTAGAGTCCTCCCGGACCCTCGGGTCGTGTCGCCTGTCCGGAGCCTCGGTTTCGTGCAGGAGTGGGGGATGCCTGGGTCGATCACGGCACTCCCACAGTCGAGTCTTTCGGTTGCGGACTCAAGGTAACGTCGCCGAGAGGTCAGAGTTCGACGATGTACCCTCCAGATGCGTGAGTGTAGTCGGGTCGCTTCTAAATCCCGGAGGGGTAGCGTCAGTTGTACCCCGAGGTCCGGTAGATAGAATGTATCCCTAGGCGGTCCCCTGGAGGTCTGGAGAAGGGCCAACACCAGCGAGCTCTGCCGCTCCAAAACTATTCCGGAACATCCGAGACCACCGAATTGTCAGTCACCATGGCCACTCGTTCCTGCTCGAAGTTCCGATTTGCAGTGCGGGCCACTTCGCACGTGTTAAGGGTTGTCGAGAACCAGTCCAACCACCTTTCAGGGTCGTCGATATCCACCGGGAAGTCGAGTAGTAATATTATCGGCCTCCGTTAGCGGTCGTTTGAGCGCCTTAGTCACCACCCGGACGATGTCGGCATGGGTTACGTCCTTTCGTTGTGAGCAAAGCGCCTTCAATTGTAGCTCCAGATCCACGGGCAAGAGCGGGTAGAGCCGTTCTTCGATATCCACATGTCGGGAGTTGGGAAGTCCGGTCATATCGCCCCGGGAGAACGCCTCAATCTGGGCCGCAGTGAATACCAGGGTGATATCCGAGTCCGGACGGAGGTCTTCCAGTTTCGAATACCCAGTCCGGATGCTCCCGACGGTTACAGCACTAATATTCCCGGCCCCCGAACACGCCATAAAAAGCCATAATCGGGTCCTGTCTACCTAGCACCTGGTTCGTGAGTCTCGAGAAGGGGCTCCTGGCTCCCAAGCGTCACTTGTCTCTTCCGGGAAGGTGGTCAATGTACCCCGGACCAGCGGCTGGGTCCGGGACAGGACGGAGGCGGCACCCTGAGGTGCCAGAGAATCTCCGTCAGGCGACGCACTAGCGTCACGGGTATTCAGTTCAGTTTGTCCTCCGGGTCGTGATCGTCCACCGGATCCCGTTCGGGATTGTCCCGGACCCCGACCTACGTTGTCTCGGGACAGCCTGCACTCCGATAGTCCGTGACCTTTGGAGCGGCACCGAGTACAGAACCACGACAACTGAGGACACTGTTCACGAGAGTGGCCCCGCATGGTACATCTCCCGTAAATGACCTCACCCGACTTAGTTTCGTCGTCTGGATCCATGCAGATACGAGGCTGTACCGGGTTGTTTCCTGCCGGGTTGTCCGTAGAGATCATGGCGACGACATCTTGGATGGAGGAAAACTGGTCGTTATTAGAGGTAGTCAAGCTCGTCATGTCCCGTTGAAGTCGTGAGATGGAGGACTGGAGCTCCTGGAGATTTCCATTGGGCGTCGAAGAGGACTGAGTCCGGGACGTGTTCCGAGTGGACCTAGTCGGCGTCGACAGAGCAACCGGTGTCATCTGGGGGGCCGATCGGGAACCATCCGTTCGTCTGTCGATGTCCACATCTCGCTCAATCAGGTAGTCCAGGCTGATTTCGATAGTCTCAGGGCGAACCGAGGCTCCCCGGAGGCACGCGGCCACTTCCGCATCGCTACATCCATTGATCATCATAACCACAGGATGCCAGGCGGTCATCTAAGATTCGAACGACCTGGGTGTCGTTGAGCTCGTACTTCTTCTGGATGATATTGAAATGCACCAGAAAATGTTCCAAAGGGATGGTCCGATCGACACTATCGAACTTGGGCGCTTACTACCGATCATCGGCCCGACGTGAAGCCGAACGGGGCTCCAGGGGTGCGTTAGGTTGTCCGGGACCAGTGCCGTCTCCTCCGGGTCCGCCTCCCGGAGGCCAGGAGGACCACCGTAGTACCCGCCGGATCTTCTATGTCCGGGTCCTCCATCACCAGGAGGTCCCGGAAGGTCACCTCGGCCCCCGAAGGGTCCACCATAGTCACCCCCATTCGGTCCACTTCCAGGAGGTTCGGGAGGATTCGTTCGACCTGTGTAACCACCCCCGTAGCCGCCCCGGTACTGTAAGCCTCCACCACCAGGTTCCGGACCATGAGAGGCCGGAGGGGCATACCCCGACCCGGTTTCACGAGGGGATGGCTGCGTGTACCCTACTCCGAGCGGCTGGCCATAGGCCCCTGAGGACGGGTACGAGTCGGCATCGTGGTTGGGTCGCGACATGGGATCCGCTGTCGGCACAAATGGTAGCGACGTCGTGTCCCGGACCGTAAACGTCGGTGGCATCTGGAGCGAAGCTGCTTCTGTCACCACCTCGGTCTGCTGCATAAAATAGGTTTGGTCGAAGGCTCGGCGAGGTGTAGACGTGTTTGAGCGGGTGGTCGGGGGCAAGGGCGCCGTAGTAAATTTAGTATGCGTAATCCTGCTTCCTATAGACGGGGATCCCATATATCGCGTCAATGTCGCGGGGAAAATCCGGACGTTCCGTGACTAGCCTTGCTGTCCCACACCCCTGGGAGGCCTGCTGAACTTGTTTAGTCCCTCGGGACTGAACCCAGGACGACCATGGACAAGACTCAGAGCTATACTACGTAGTATTATGGAGCTCCCGGACCAGATTCCGGACGTCCTAGACCTGGATTATCCATTAGTCATCCTCTTTTCTTTGAAGCTAAACCAACTAACTCGACTTTACATTTTGCCCTGAACTACGCGTTTGGTGTTTAACATGCTTACATACAGTCTGGAACAAAACTATAGCCGCACCCCAAAATTTTCAAGTTGACATTTTTGTTTTTGTCCATTACAGAAGCCGCTAGTACCATTCGACGCGTATTAAAAAATGATTACAATCTACACTTAGCATTACTATGGACGATCAATGGTATTTACAAAAAATGATAAAACGTGTATTTTAGTTGGTGCAAAACTATAGCCGCACTTACAATATGTGCACTAATAGTCGATTGTGGCACCCCTTTTCAAGATGACTTGAGCCATGCGAGTTATGCCGCACCTACCCATTAGATTTGTCGTGAAACCCCGCGACATTCTGGTGGAGAAGCAGGGTATGGGCGCTGGTGGTGCCAGGAGGACCACCGTAGTTTCTCGGCTGGTTGTGGCGGTAAACGTGACCGGCTTGGAATCCGTGGGGGGCTCACGGGTGGCGGCACCTGCTGGACTTGCTTGGACTTTCTTTTTGGAAGAGGACGTGCTTTGGTCACGGGTTCGACTTTGGCGGCGTCGCCATCAAAAAATGGCGTCGATTGCTTCTTCGTCGGGGCCTTGATGATGCTGAGTTTGAGGACGGCCAAGTGAACGGTGTGCTCTTTGTCGTGCCGGTGGATTCGAAGTTGGAGTAGACCATATGGATGGACTGCACGTCCTTTTGAGTAAGTATCTGTGCCATGGTATCCTGGCCTTCCTGTAGGGAGCATCCCGTGGAGCTAACGGTACAGATGCGCACTAAGTGCGGTGCTTCATTCCTGTCAAGCGCCTCATGGATGTATTCCACCAATGCCGCTGCCATTGTTTGTACTCCCGCCAAGAATGAAAACGATCCGGATACGCCTACAGTCGTACAATGTACCGTACATTGCACTCGTACAATCTGTACACTATTAATAGGAACATTTTCTGACTACAAGAGAAACGTCGAGATAATTTGAACTTCGCCAGATATTGTCAATCGAATGTCTTTGGAGAATCGATTAAAGAACCGCCTGAGCCAATCCAATCACGTCATGTCGAATTTCGTCCAATCCAAACGTTTGACCCTCCGCATTGGGCAAAACCACATGTATACTAATCGTAGTATAGTGTGGACAAGCTTAATATGATCATATAAATTCGAAAGCTATTTGGCGACATCACTCCTCATTGTCAACTCCAAATTTGGATGAAATGCACAATATCGATATGGTCGATTGAATGGAGCTAGCAAATTACAGACCCGTCGCGTCGTTAACGCATTGATAATATCAAGGATCTAGGCTAGTTAGTTAAACAAAGCTCGTTCCCGCTACAGTGTACCATGGGATATCACGATTGTCTATATGCGTGTGGTGTCTTGATGCTATTGCAACCATGCCTGCAACAAGCCCGTGAACCATTGCCGCCAAGACACTAAAGCGTCATTTCCCCGTCGAACGAATTCGCGCCGCACGTAGGCATCCTTGTCGTCGTCGTCGATGCCCGTCACATCGATGCCCTCCAACACCGCGAGCTCGGCCATACTCAGAAACCCGTCGTGGGCTCGAAATGCGTTCGAGAAATGACTGACTTCGCGCATTAAGATATGGGTGGGCGATACCTGCCGCACCTCTATCCTACATATGTCCGTATATGGAATCACAAACTCGAGACTACTCATTCACTCACCACGACCGGTGGTGCCATTGCCTGAGCATCGGGTCGCACGCATGCATTTCGTCATCGTCGACTTGCCGCATGACCATTATGAACCGGTCTGCTTCGAAGAAGTGCCCTTGGAGTATGTTCGCGAACGCGCCGCGGGTCGTAATTGAGTGAAACAATCGCGTGTTGGATGTGCGCTCTTCGATCACCTAATAAAAAGTCAGTGCGACACGAAACATAAACAGTGTCACTTGCGTCTTGGGGGCCCTTGAAGAGCATGTCACGCATACGATTGGATTTGACGAATCGTCGAAAGGACGCCAGCGTTCCTGGAAATATGCACTGTATCCGCTCCATGAACAGATCGTCGTGTTGGTCTGACACTTGCAAGTCAAATTGGAAAAATTCGTCGTCACAGGTCATAGCAGGAAGCAACGCCAACGCCTGGCGCGTGTTGTGGTACATTTGCTGCATGAGCCACTCCTTGCCGAGGTATCGAGCACTTGGCTCGGCCGCCAACGTCGCATTCTGCCACGTATTGCTGCGGGACATGGGCGACTACATGTATAGAGAAGCAGTGATCTCACTCGCCTGTGTCTGTGGAAGGGTGTACCGGAATGCTCATCATGACAAAGCGTTGCATAGCCTTCGTGAGGTATTGATACCGTTGCGTTTGCCGAATCAGTGGCTGACGGTCCATCAAGACACGACGAACTTCTCTTTTTAACACGGTGGCAATGGAGTACCAGGACAACAGACCATCGCTTGCTTCACGCGGCGCTATCGACGGCGGCATGCTGGCTTGAAGGATATCCCGAATCGACTGAAGGTGCGCGAGCTCTGCTTCGACAATCGCCACGTCAACATTCACCTTGCGGCGATAATTGCGCTGCTTTTCTCGAAAATATCGACGGCGAGCGAGTGTGTTGTCGACAGTCGTCAGGGCCGCGTCCGTGCTGTTGGCGTTGGTCTCGCCCGTGTTAGATGTCATTCTTGATTTATTCTTGGTCCGATGTGATTGGTGCAATCTGACATCACATGGAGCCTTTCCCGTAGAAATCCAACATGGAACGTAGCCAATCAGCGACAACTATTTTTGGATTGACCAATAGGAGACTGGAGACTGCGGTAAATGATGAAAGTTCGTAAATGATGAATTGTTGAGGGTATTATTTCCCACGATCGTCCGACATTTATCACGATCATCCAAGTCGGGTATTTGGGAAATATTATTGGAAATTCGATTACAAAATGGACTGGGGCTGCCAATCGAATCCACGAAGCAAAATCGACGCAGTAATCGACGGACCGAAGTGGCCAATGAAATGTTCGAATAAAAATCTTTCGACCAATCAAATTGCAGGTGTCTCCAGTAGCGTCCTTCTCCATTTCACATTGAGTTCAACCATTTTCTTCGACGTATCTGACAGATTCAGTTGAAACAAAACGATGTCTAGACGATTTCAGGTAGATTTGACGTCATTTGCCGAATCTACCGAAAATACCAATTTTTTCTTGAAAGCACAATATTATTCCAAGTCATCCAACTTGCTTTGATTGGCTAAAAGCATTTGAGTAAAACGAACTTACTGTTAGCTACTTACAGTTAATACACATGACGTCTTATCGTATTCCTTGCAGATTTTATTGTTAGCAGCCCACTGCCGATTATGGATAGGACGGTACACTGTACCGACTCAAATTGTACCGTACAGTGTACCGGTACACTTTACCTACTGAAAACAGTGTACCTTTGTACACCGTTCGAAACCCCGAAGCCATTATGTACACAAATGAAACAGATATAGCACTGGTACTGTAGTACTGCTTAACGGAGAAGATTAGAGTGAAACGTTATCTCTGATGATGTTGCGAGAGTACCTCAGTATACTTCAATACAAGTTCATACTACCTCTGTTATGTAACTATTGCAAGCAGACATTCGTAGGTATACAAAGTGCAAGTAATAGGAATCTTAATTTAATAGAATTAAACAACCCATCGCCGAGCAGGTAT